ACCGACACGAGCACACCGCAGCAACTTGGCAAGGCGCGGCGACCTGGGGGGACGCTCCCACTAGAGGGGACGCGGTGTCTGAGGTGAACAGGCTAGACTCCGGGTCCCGGGGAATGTGGTGAGAGGGGCACCAGTGGTGGCCTCGGTACAGACTGCGTACCGCTCGTATATAGGAAACGTAGTGGTGACGTCGAGGTCCTGAAGACAGCCGATACCAACTAGGTTCCTGGAGAACGAGGGGATGTGCAAGCCTGTGAGAGAGCCCAAGGCAATCGCTGGAAAGGGAAGAATGGTGGAGCTACGTGCAACTACCAGACCTGATGAGGGGTCAGCAAGTGCTACTATGGCAAGGGCGGCAAACGGCGTGAGCGCAATGTGGTCGCGAAAGAAGCTGGCGAACGCACCACAGTCTGGCGTGAATGAGAGTGTGGCGGTAGTGGCTGCAGGCGGAGGAGCTAGAGTGGAGCCGAGGCTAAACAAAGCCAGTGGTCCTACACCTGACACAGCAGGGGACCCTAGGCTACACACACTGGACACACCTATACTCGACAACACAGGGTTATAGGGTCCGGTCACACTAGAGTCATCGGCATATATGATATACATGGAAGACCTAATATGATCCATATCAAGCTAAAAGACAGGGACATGGCGACGCACCTGGCTGTACCAGTAGGGGGGGTCCGACGCGGGGCCAAAGCAGAGATAGAAGAGGTTGTCGTGGCGGGAGTCATCGCAAAAATCACGGACCGGCTGTTTACGCACCCCCCGTTTTGACTAGTCTTGGGGTTCGGGGGAGGGTCTCATAAACTTCTTTCTAAGGGCTTCGGTGACTTCCGTGCATTCATGGTTGTGTTTTGCAGATTCACCCCCCTGTTTCGACTGGGAAACGGCCATCCAAGAACTGGGTTCTGCGGCGCGAGCAGCTCAAATCTTGATCGACGGTGTAAACTCCAAGCGATCTGGTTGTGTGGTCACGATTGCTGTTTCGATTCGTTCGGCTAACGAGCCTCCAATTGTACTGTAGCGTGTCAAGCCATTGGTCGATCCTTTTGTGCCATTGCGAGCTAAACAACCACAAATAGTAATGACAAAACTGAACACATGGTACTGTTCATCACCAACTCAAAGCACCTGGGCGAAATCTGAGGTGACAACGAGAGCATACACGAGTGTGTACGTTGGAAAAAAACATTCGCGACATGGTAACCCTGCCGCTGTCGCCGGTTTTAAAGCACCCCTATTGGACGCGCTGGCCTTTCCAAAGCGAACGGGGCCCACGAGTGCCGTTGGCGATAAAAAAACAAGCAAGTGCTATTGGCTGTTAAAATATATATGTCGCAACGGCCATCAACGCAAGTTTCGCAAATCACAAATGAAATGTGCGACTCGGCAACAAATTTCGGGCTATCAATGTGCGACTCGACATCAGAACACAGCACTCAGTGGCACGAATTACACTGCTGAGGCAAACGCCTGGTGAAATAAACAATGCAGCAAATGCCTTGGCCAGCCTAAGGCAGTGGTGTCTAGTAAATTCAAGCTTTCTTGCAGATAGAGCAGTCCAGCGAACAGGTTTTCACATGCGTTTTTAAGGCACACTATGCAGTGACGCTATGCAGGCGGCCGGGATGGATTGCCCGGAGTGTGGTAGTGGGCAGTTTTACCACTATTCCGCCTTGGAATCCCATCGAGGTAGCAATGTTTGCAAAATAGCAGCGGCAATGAAAGCATCGTCGCAGCGACCAGCGAACGTTCCTAACGTAGCATCAGAGGTTCATCAGCGTGGCGCCTGGAGTCCATCTACGAGTGACAACGTAGTTGTGCCTCCGACATTTGACGATCCGGATGGTTTGGGAGAGGACGACGTACATGAAGCCGCGGCACAGGCTGCCATGGATTCCGTGGCATCTTTGTCATGCATGAGTGACACCTGTGGGGTTCAGAACCTCTCTCAAGCCTCAAACGCCTCGAACGAACGCGCCGCCGCTCCGTTTTGTTTTAAGGACGAAGTCGCCCGTTGGGTTTTGCAAGAACAGCTATCTCAACGAGCAGTTGCGCGGTTGTTTGCTATCCTCGGGCATGAGGGAGCCTCGCTGGCGGATGTGGCGGGGTGGAAGTCTACACGTGACGTCAACCGCTACGTGGCGGGAAAGGTTGCAGATTGCGACCGTTCATGGCAAAAGGGAGTCACTCGCGTGGGGACGAAGCAATTCCTCAAATTTCACTACTGTGATACCATGAAGGTGAGAGTGCCAATGTACACAAAACCTAATGCAGCCATCTTGTCGGAAAAGGCGGTGACAAGTGCAAGAACCAACCTTTATGCATCTCTGCTCTCAACCCCTCTATGCCCAAGTCCCCCCCCCTATCCCCGCGCTAGTTTAAACCGAATCTCCTTTTTTCCCCTCTCTGTCCGAGCCTCTCCTCCCATCCCCACACTAGTTCAAGTTGAACCCCCCCTTTCCCACCCTCTGCCCAAGTCTCCTCCCCCCATCCCCGCACTAGTTTAAACCGAATGCCCCCCTTCCCCCCCCATCCGGTCCTCTCCTCCCATCCCAACTCTAGTTCAAACCGAATTCCCCCTTTCCCCCTCTCTGTCCAACACCCACCTCCCATCCCCTCACTCATTCAAACTGAATCCCACCTTTCCCCCTCTCTGTTCGACTCCCCCCTCCCATCCCCTCACTCGTTCAAACTGAATCCCACCTTTCCCCCTCTCTCTTCGACTCCCCCCTCCCATCCCCTCACTCGTTCAAACCGAATCCCCCTTTTCCCCCTCTCTGCCCGACTCCCCCCTCCCATCCCCTCACTCATTCAAACCGAATCCCCCCTTTCCCACTCTCTGTCTGACTCCCCCCTCCCATCCCCTCACTCATTCAAACTGAATCCCCCCTTTCCCCCTCTCTGTCCAACTCCCCCCTCCCATCCACTCAATCATTCAAACTGATTCCCCCCTTTCCCACTCTCTGTCCGACTCCCCCCTCCCATCCCCTCACTCATTCAAACTGAATCCCCCCTTTCCCCCGCTCTGTCCGACTCCCCCCCCCCATCCACTCACTCATTCAAACCGAATCCCCCCTTTCCCACTCTCTGTCCGACTCCCCCCTCCCATCCCCTCACTCATTCAAACCGAATCCCCCATTTCCCACTCTCTGTCTGACTCCCCCCTCCCATCCACTCACTCATTCAAACTGAATCCCCCCTTTCCCACTCTCTGTCTGACTCCCCCCTCCCATCCCCTCACTCATTCAAACAAAATCCCCCCTTTCCCCCGCTCTGTCCGACTCCCCCCTCCCATCCACTCACTCATTCAAACCGAATCCCCCCTTTCCCCGGCTCTGTCCTAGTGTCTGTGCCCACGCACACACTCATTCGAAATCACCCCCCCTTTTTCCCCCCACCCCCCCACTCCCCTCTACGGGTTAATTCTGGCAGGCGCTTAAGGATCTGCTCAGCGAAAAACGGCTTACCCATCGCCTCATTACTCGTGCGCATAGGAAGAGGGTCAACGGCGTGAGGGTGTATGACGCCCCCGAGACCAGCGACTTCTGGAACAATGTTCAGGTCTGTTATCTATGAACCTACGCATGGTAGTTCTCATTGGGCGTGCATTTCTAGAATGATCCTTGCCCATCTCTCTCTATACCCTCCAACAGGAACGCCTGGGCCCTGAGGATGTTGTAGCCATGCTCATCTTATCCTCAGATGAGACAATCCAAGATGGTAGGGGGAAATCGAAGGGGCACCTGATCTACATGTCTCTCGGAAACATACATCGCAAGAATCGTTGGAAGCCGTATGGCCACGCATTGATCGCCACGCTACCCGAATTTCCAGCGGACTACACCGCATTGGATCGACTTCAAGTCTTCCAACATGTGTTGGCCATAGTTCTAGAACCACTTAAGCAAGCCTCCTTTGTGTAAGAGCCTTCCATTTGCACAATGTTTCTTTTATTGCTCAACCCCTACTAACGACTTGGTTTTCGATGCAACAGGGGAACAAGAGTTCAAGACCCCTCAGGACACGCCTTCACCGCCTTTCCCGCCCTCTATGCTTATGTGGCAGATTATCCAGAGACTTGTAAGCTCACTTGCACCAAGTCATTGGGGACTCTGTATCCATGTTCCTTATGCAAGGTGCATAAGGATAAATTGGACACCTACGTATCGGAAAATCAGTATCGTACAGCGCCTAAGCAAGAGGCCATTGTGCACGCCTTGTGCACACGACGCCAGGGCGCACGACAACCTACTTCCTACTCAACACACCCCATCCAGGTAAATTATCTCTACCGTGTCTACAATCCCACAATTTCAGTGAGCTACTCCCAGCATGTGACATTTCAAATGCTTTGTTGTTGCCCCCCTACCCCTACAGTGTGCTCTACATGGCTTCCGATTCGAGTCCGAGGAGTGGGGCAGCCCATACATGGCGGTCATGCCAGATTTGATGCATCAGGCGGACCTAGGGATACTTGAGCACATCTTGGATGCTCTGAGGGGTGTCATTCACAAAGACTTCCATACTACAATTGACTTGTAAGTCCACTTTATTAGCCATGCAATCCACACAATTGTTGGCCTAGAGATTGACTCCACTACACTGTGTTTTGTGCTACAGGATCTTGAAACGACACAAGATGGGGTGCCGAGTTGATGGTATGCGCCTTCCATCGGGAGAATACTTTCGTCTAGGTGCGTCGTACCAAGCGTACGAGCATCGATCGGTGATGCAGATTCTGCCCTTCCTTATCATGGACTTTGTAGAGCAGCCACACATGGACGTTGTGGTGGCCTACATAGAGTGGTATCACACATGCGGCAAAACCACGGACTTTAGCGAGGACTCTTTGGCGCGACTTGAGGCTCGGTCCAAGAGGTATGCTCATTGGTGTCCTTAAGAACCATGTTAACTCATTCAAATATAGCATTTACCCACCCGCCCGCTCCTGCTGCCCCCCCCCTTTCCACCCCACCTTTACTCCAAAGCCTTCATACACTTCTGGCCATTTATTGTCGCACCCCATTGCAGGCTTATCGAACTACTCATCAAGAACTTCCCCGACTACAAATGGAGGTTCATCAAGACCCACTTGATGAGCCATTACATCGATGCCATTCGTCGTGCTGGACCACCTGTCCATTACGATGCTAACATGTTCGAGCACTATCACAAGGACCACATCAAGCGCCCGTACCGTGGTTCCAACAAGAGAGACGCGGCTGGCCAGATCGTTCGCCACGAAGAGCAACGCTTGCAGCTAGATGCACTCCCCCAATCTGAATTTGGAGCAGCAACTGAATACAACACCGCCATGCGTGAGGTGAAACATCGCAAATGCTCCGCGTTAGTGTACTCCCGCAAGCAGCTACTAATGTGTCACCTCTGCCCACTTTCCCCCCATAATGCCCTACACAGGCCTTACGTACTGGTGCACGTACCCTCTCCTCTACTTCGTGGGGCTTGACCATCTTGCCGTTGCGTCGAGGCGGGCCTTTTGTTGAATTCACCGCGCCAGATCCGGGAAGAGATGCTGTGCATTTGGAGGCCCTAGGTAGTCATCTCCCATATCTGCGGCGGGCACTTGACCGAATAATACCCAACGGGAAGGACATTCGCACCATCTACGTAAGTCTACCACCCTAGGCCAATTCTTGAGCTTACCTTTGACATGAGACCATTGTTTCACTTGTCACTGATTGTGACTGCAGGTCCATGTGGAGCTAGCTATGCCCCGAGCCATGGATGAAGCATTCTCTCAAGTACCACATCGCATCCGTGCAGTACCACTGTTCCACAAGAAGGTTTGGTTCAGTGACGTGGCAATCCATACTGGGGGTGAAGAGTGGTATGGTAAGGTGTTGTTATTGTTCCACATTGGTCATGGCGATTCAAGGAAAGAATATGCATTTGTGAGGTACTACATAGAGCTGCCGGATATCCATCTACGGACTGGGTGTCGTCAATTCAAACTGGAAGGTGTGGCACAAAGGTATTGTGTGATAGAGACGATTAGCATTCTACGCGCGGTGCACTTCGTTCAGCCGAAGCCGCAAGAGCAAAAGTGGTTGATAAACCATTTCTTGTTCTAATTGTTGTTGCAAAATGCAATTATTTTGTAATAGGGCTATATGTTGTTTGTATTCTAACTTGTTAATAAATATCATTATCCATACAATGTTGCTTTCCATTTTAGTGTACCGTAAGAGACAGTGAGTGTGGTCCTTGTGAAGTGATTCAATGGATGGCACAAAACACGACATCGATTGCCAGACGAGGAGTGCGACGCGGCAAGTGTGCCCGATACTGTAGATGAAAGCCACCTCGCAATGCTGCTGCGCTGCCATGTCAAGCAAAGGGTGAACTTGGAAAGTTTCGTTTTCTAAGGGAGATGCCCCTGCCGAATTCCAAGGATTTTTTAAGTTGCATTAATCGACCAGATTCTGAGCCAATTTAGATCATTTTGCAGTCGCGAATACAATCGCGGATCTCAGAAATGCAAACAACAGGCATATTTTGAAACCCGAGTGTTCAACCCGGTTACAATCTAGATAGGAAATTTTCAAATCTCGAGGCCTCTGCAGGTCCTTGTGCGCATGTGATGAAATCATGCCTCAGCGCCAGCCGACGTGCAAAGAGTTCGTATCGACAGCTGAGATCAAAGATGCCATATTCCTCGTCGCGTTGCATCAACTTGCACCCCATGTCTTTGTACGCAGCTGGAGTTACCGACGTGCTTGCACCACAATTTGTGAAACCTGAATAGATCGAAGGCTGCGATTGAGAGCTGCCACCCAAGTTCCTTCGCGTGGAACTTGTAATTACCGCCGTTGCAAGTTTGCTGCCCGCAACGCTGTTTTCCGTTGCGAAATCGCGACGACTTTAGCAAGGCAAACGGTTTGCGACTCGCACGAATGTGTTCCCGTTTGCGACGCAGCGCTGTCTCACATAGCCAATAGGAAGTTCCGATTTGGATCACCTAAGCGTTAAGGGCCATAAAAGAGGGTGTGCGACACTCAAACTCGTATCCCAAACAATTTGCTCCCGATGGTGAACCCCGGTCAGAAGAAAGCTGTTCCAGGAAATGCCACACCGCCCGCTCGTGGCCGTCAGCTCCCTCATCGCACAATTGTTCAGCCCAGCAGGTTTGCGGATGGTGTTACTCCTGGCAATCGCATGCTTGGGAGACAGCCTGGATTGCCCCCTGCGAACGATGCAAACCAGACTCCTCCGCCGCAACCACCTGCCCTCAACGTTGCAGCAATGTCTGGCGATCAGCTGCAAGCCCTGATGACTCGGCTCAGCCAAGAAAAACACAGTCGCAGAGGGTCGTCCAGCTCACATCCCGGAGACGAACTGTCTCCTCAAGTTTCCGAGGCTGCCGTTGGCGAGGAAAGTAGATTCGACGAGCCTGCTACCTCCACTCCTGCTGACCTCCATGACGTTGGCTCGCAGCATGGCACCGAAGCCGTAACCCTTGAACCCGTTGAAGAGGCTGAGGACGATGGCGACGACGCAGCAGCGGAAGATGCTGGCGCCGGCGGTGCCGACGTTGATGAGGAGGAAGATGACCGCTCTGCTCACAGGCGTCATAGCAGCCCTATTGCAAACCTCCTCGGCGAGAATGGCAAGGCAGTCGCAGGGCGTTCGGCCAAGCGTTCTAAGAACGCAGAAGGTACGTACAACTAAGCATCCACTTTTTCTGTTACTGTTTCCACGATTATGATTTGTCCAACCCTTTTACATGCTACGAGTTGCGCACTAACATATCCATTCTTCCCATCTCTGCCCATGCCGTCGTTGCGTAAGCGCAGGTGTTCCAGTGTCGGTCAATCATGACGCGGCCAGGGATCGCGAGCGGCAGCGGATGCACGCCCTGCATCAGGCTGAGCTGCTGGAGGTGCGCCGACAACTCGAGGAAAGCCAGCGCGCTCACGACCAGCTGGCTGGCCGGATTCCGCTCGCGTCGAATGACGCAAACCTTGGCGCCGGTGATGATGTGGGCGGAGCTGCTGGACTTCACTGCTCTACGCTGCAACCTGCCCTCGCTAGTCGCCCTGGCTGCTCTTCTGGCGTTCCTACCCGTGGCACACCGTTTGTCGCGCCCAACGCCAACCTTGCTGCCGCCATACGCCGTGCTGCACCGGCTGTGGTAGCGCCTACCCCTGCTGCCAACCTGGTGCAGGCAGATGCTCCAGAGTGCCTCACTGATCTCACCTTTTTCAAGGTACCCAATCGTCCACCGATGCACACGCACTTTCGCACGCACTCTCCCTCCCCTCTTGTCCGCCTTGACCCTGTCACCATCTTGCTTCCTTGCTTGCTCCCTTGCTCTCATGCTTGTCACCATGTATTCCCACAGTCGTCGTCCCTCAAGATATGTGCCTTTGTCCATTGCAGGAGAAGTGCAACTTGGCGGTCAACTATTTCGTCGCTGAGGCTCCGACGCTGGAGATCGATTTCTGGCCATGCATCCAGCGCCTGCGGAACAAGCTGGTCGAGCGGTACAGCGACGTGCAGGTGTCCGTGGAGACCTTCAATCGCGTTATGAACGCCCACCCGGAGCGCGAGCGGATCCCGCGCGACAAAATGGGGGAGCGCCGGAGCAACATGTTTTGCCAGATCCGGGTATGGGCGCTCGGTCCTGGCGGCTTCCTCAAGGAGACAAAGGTCTCCATGCTGGCCGCTGAGAACATGGCGCCCATGGTGCGCCGAAACGCACAGCAGTGGCACACGTTCTTCTTCCACTGTAAGCACCCTCCCCTCTTTCCCTCTTGATGCCTTCTTGCAAAGTGATATTCGCTTGTGCACTCACCCTTTTAACTCAGATTATAGCCTGAATAATTCAGATTGTTCACGCTTCATTTCATTCTGCTTTATATTTCTGAAATGCCCCTTTTCCTGTGCAGCATTGTATGGCAGCAAATGGCATTGCAACCCTGACAACGGGTGGCCTTTCGGCAACAAGGCCTTCGAGTTTTCTCTCTGCAAGGGCATCGGTGGCCGCCGGTGCACTACCATGCATGCCAAGATCACCGTGGTCGCAACCCTCTTGCGACCTTTGTCTCCTTGAGACCTTTGTCTCCTTGAGGAGCGCGTCTGGAGCTGGGCAACCCCATCTACGACCCCATTGCCCCTGCTGGCTTTGTGATGGGGGGTGGGGCGGTGCGCATCCTCATTAAGGGCTTTGAAGACGATTTTGTGGGCCTGGTGTGAGCCTCACTAAGACCCTGGATGCTGCTGGGACGGACCTGGAAGCTGCTGGGACGGTGCTGCATGCTGCTGATGTGGTGCCGGATGGGTGCAGGTGTGGAGCGGACGGGTGCAGGTGTGGAGCGGACGGGTGCAGGTGTGGAGCGGACGGGTGCAGGTGTGGAGCGGGTTGTTGATTATGTTCCTGGAGACTGCTGCTGACGACCCTAGTAGCTGCTACTTACCGTGATTACTGCTGATGACCCTGGTGACTGCTGCTGATAATCCTAGTAACTGCTGACTCCTGACCCTGCAAGTTTGGAAGAATGGCAGAGCTAACCTAGGCTCCATTTTGAAGCAGGCATTTTGGTTTTGCATGAATCGGTTCTGATCTGGCTGATTGCTGTGTAATGCATATTTATTTCGAATTATGTCTAATCCAGTTTCCATACAGCAACAGGCAATAAACAGGGTGTGCATGGTGATAAAACATATCCTGTGGTCACTCATTAACAGGGTTAGTTGCTCCATAAAAGGACAACGACAGTCGTTCTCAACCCTTACTCACTGCCCATTGAGCCTTATTGATGGGCGTTATTGGCACTTGAACCGCTCTACAATGAAAGACCAATTATTCAAGGCTCGTTTACATCGGCCTTTCCTCCATAGATGACCATTTAGCCCACCAAACCAACCGGATTTATGCCCAGGTTGAGCCCGTAAACAGATATAAATGGCTCCGGTCGTTTATGACCCCTACATGCCTACAGCCTAGGTCGTTTATGACCAGGTCATTCACGGCAATAAAATGCCCATTTCCCCCCCAATTCCAGTCTTAAATGACGGAAAACCCCCCCTACTTTTTGAGATGGTAGCAGCGGGCGGGGGTGTTTGGGACGGTCGCAGACGGTGCCACGGCGGGGGCTGGACTGAAGCTGGTACTTGCAGGTGACCACACCGGAGCCGCCACCCGACACTGACTTGCACGGCCCACCACCACGACCACCCCCACCAGCGCCGCCAGGCCACCACGGTGGCGGGGGTCCCCACGGCGGTTGCTGATGTTGCTGCGACTGCTACTACTATTGCTGCTTAGGCTGCTGCTGCTGTTGCTGCTTAGGCTGTTG